TGGATCTAAATAAGTGGATTAATCTGCTCTAACCAAGGGAATATACTTAGAGAAAAGGAAAGGAGGAGGCAGACAAGGGTAAATTACATTACAGGAAAAGGCACAAAAACCTATTGCAGTAGAGGGAAAGAAGGGAAGAGATGAGCATTGTTTGAACCTTACTCTCATCAGATTTGGCTCAAGGAGGGAATAACATAATCAGTTAAGTATAGAAATCTAACTTGCCATATAGGCATTAGGGGGAAAAGGGGAAAGAAAAGGGGGGGGGGCTAATAGAAGGAAGGTAGAACTGAGGGAGGCAGTGGTCAAAAGCAAAACACTAGTGAGAAGGGAAAAGCGAGAGGAGAAAGTAAAGCATAAACAGGAGGGAAATAGGATGGAGAGAAAGACATAGATAGTAATCATAACTGTGAATGTAAATGGGATGAACTCTCCCATAAAAGGGAAACAGATAGCAGAATAGATTAAAAACCATAATCCTACAATATGTTGTTTATAGGAAACACATTTAAAACAGAGGGACACGCACAGGGTAAAGGTAAAAGGATGTAGTAGAATATATTATGCTTCAGCTGAAGTGAAGAAAGCAAGGGTAGCAATCCTGATCTCATACAAAGCAAAAGTAAAAATAGATCTTATCAAAAGAGATAAGGAAGGAAACTACATCCTGCTAAAAGGCACCATAGACAAGTAATACCATTACTCAACATATATGCACCAAGTGGTATAGCATCCAGATTCTTAGAGGAGATGTTCAGGGAGTTACAGGAAGAAAGACAGCAAAACTATACTAGTGGGGGACCTCAACCTCCCCCTCTCTGAACTAGATAAATCTAACCACAAAATAAACAAGAAAGAAATTAAGGAGATGAATAGAATATTAGAAAAGTTAGATATGGTAGACCTCTGGAGAAAATTGAATGGGGATAGAAAGGAATATACTTTTTTTTCTCAGCAATACATGGCACATACACAAAAATTGACCATGTGCTGGGACATAAAAACCTCACAATCCAATGCAGAAAGGCAGAAATGTTAAATGCATCGTATTCAGATCAATGTGCAATAAAAATTACATGTAATAAAGGGCCATGGAAAGATTGACTAAAAAAATTGGAAACTAAATAATCTAATCCTAAAAAATGAATGGGTCAAACAACAAATCATAGAAAGAATCAGTAACTTCATACAAGAGAATGACAATAATGAGACAACATACCAAAACTTATGGGATACAGCGAAAGCAGTTCTTAGGGGAAGTTTTATATCTCTAAATGCTTACATGAATAAAATAGAGAAAGAGGAGATCAATGAATTGTGCATGCAACTAAAAAAAAACTAGAAAAAGAACGAATTAAAAATCCTCAATTAAATACCAAATTAGAAATACTGAAAACCAAAGGAGAGATTAATAAAATTGAAATTAAGAAAGCTATTGAACTAATAAATAAAACTAAGAGCTGGTTTTATGAAAAGTCAATAAAACAGATAAACCTTTGGTTAATTTAATTAAAAAAAAAGAAGAAAACAAAATCACCAGTATCAAAAATGAAAAGGGTGAATCCACCACCAAGGAAGAGGAAATTAAAACAATAATTAGGAACTATTTTGCCCAACTGTATGCCAGTAAATTTGACAATCTGTGAAATGGATGAATATTTACAAAAATATAAATTGCCCAGATTAGCAAAAGAGGAAATAAAATAAACAGCCCCATCTCAGAAAAAGAAATTGAACAAGCCATCAATGAACTCCCTAAGAAAAAAATCTCCAAGGCCAGATGGATTTATATGCGAATTCTATCAAACATTTAAAAAACAATTAATTCCAATACTATATAGACTATTTGGGAAAATAGGCAAAGGAGTCTTATCAAATTCTTTTTATGAAACAAATATGGTGCTGATACCTAAACCAGGAAGAGTCAAAACAGAGAATAGACCAATTTCCCTAATGAATGTAGATGCAACAATTTTAAATAAAATATTATCAAATAGATTACAGCAACTTATCACAAGAATAATACACTATGACCAGATAGGATTTATACCAGTAATTCAGGACTGGTTCAATATTAGGAAAACTATCAGCATAATTGATCATATCAACAACAAAACTAACAGAAACCACACGATCATCCCAATAGATGCAGAAAAAGCTTTTGACAAAATACAACACCCATTCCTATTAAAAACACTAGAGAGCATAGGAATAAATAGAGTCTTCCTTAAAATAATAAGTAGCATCTACCTAAAACCTTCAGCAAGCATCATATGTAATGGGGAAAAGCTAGAAGCATTTCTAGTAAGATCAGGGGTGAAACAAGGATGTCCATTATCAACACTGTTGTTCAATATTGTACTGGAAACATTAGCTTTAGCCATAAGAGAAGAAAAAGAAATTGAAGGTATTAGAATAGGCAAAAAAGAAGCAAAGCTATCACACTCTGTAGATATTAGGATGATATACTTAGAGAATCCTAGAGATTCAAGTAAAAAGCTACTTGACATAATAAACAGCTTTAGTAAAGTTGCAGGATATAAAATAAACCCACATAAATCATCAGCATTTCTATATTTTACCAACAGAGTCCAGCAGCAAGAGATAGATAGAGAAATTCCATTTAAAGTTACTGTGGACATTATAAAATATTTAGGAGTCTACCTACCGAAACAAACCCAGGAACTATATGAACACAATTACAAAACGCTTTTCACACAAATAGTCAGATCTAAATAATTGGGAAAACATCAGTTGCTCATGAGTAGGCCAAGCTAATAGAATAAAAATGACAATTCTAATTAAATTAATTTACTTATTCAGTGCTATACCAAGCTACCAAAAAATTATAGAGCTAGAAAAAATAGTAAGATTCATTTGGAGTAACAAAAGGTCCAGAATATCAAGGGAACTAATGAAAAGAAATGCAGGAGAAGGTGGCCTAGCCATTCCAGATCATAAATTGTATTATAAAGCATCAATCAAAACTACTTCATACTGGCTAAGAAATAGAGTGGTGGATCAGTGGAATAGATTAGGTATGCAATTCACAGCAGTCAATGGCTATAGTAATCTGCTATTTGATAAACCCAAAGACCCTAGCTTCTGCGATAAGAACTCACTATTGCCAAAAACTGCTGGGAAAACTGGAAAAGAGTATGGCAGAAACTAGGCATAGACCAAAATCTTATACCATCTACCAAAATAAAGTCAAAATGGGTTCCTAATTTAGACATAAAGGCTGATACTATAAGCAAACTGGGAGAGCAAGGAATAGTTTACCTGTCAGATTTATAAAGAACAAAAGAATTCATGACCAAACAGGAGATAGAGAACATTATGAAGTGCAAACTGGATAATTTTGATTACATTAAATTGAAAAGTTTTTGCACAAACAAAGCCAATGTAACCAAGATTAGAAGGAAAGTAGAAAACTGGGAAAGAATTTTTACAACCAGTCTCTCTGATAAGGGCCTCATTACTAAAATATATAGAGAATTAAGTCAAATTTATAAGAATACAAGTCATTCCCCAGTTGATTAAATGGTCAAAGGATATGAGCAGGCAGTTCTCTGATGAAGTAATTAAAGCCATCTATAGTCATATGAAAAAATGTTCTAAATCACTATTGATTAGAGAAATGCAAATCAAAACAACTCTGAGGTACCACATCATACCTATCAGATTGGCCAAGATGACAAAACAAGAAAATGATAAATGTTGGAGAAGATATGGGAAAATTGGAACACTAATGCATTGTTGGTGGAGTTGTAAAATGACCCAACCATTTTGCAGAGCTATTTGGAACTATGCCCAAAGGGCTATCAAAATGTGCATACCCTTTGACCCAGCAATAGCACTTCTAGGGCTATATCCCAAAGAGATCATAAAAATGGGAAAAGGACCCACATGTACAAAAATATTTATAGCAGCTCCTTTTGTCATGGTGAAGAATTGGAAATTGAGGGGATGCCCATCAATTAGGGAATGGCTGAACAAGTTGTGGTATATGAATGTAGTGGAATACTATTGTTTCATAAGAAATGGTGGGCTGGTGGACTTCAGAAAAACCTGGAAAGACTTGTATGGACTGATGCCGAGTGAAGTGAGTAGAATCAGGAGAACATTGTACACAGTAACTAACAGCCACATTGTGTGATGACTAACTTTGATAGACTTGGCACTTCTCAGCAATGAAAGGATCTAAGACATCTCCAAAAGTCTCATGATGGAAAATGGTATCCACATCCAAAGAAAGAACTATGGAGTTTGAATGCAGATCAAAGCATACTCTTTGCTCTTTTTTTTTCTTCTGTTTTGTTTTGTTTCCTCTTTCTTGTGGTTCCTTCTATTGTTTCTAATTCTTCCTTACAACATGACTAATGTGACAATATGTTTAATAGGAATATATATGTATAGCCTATATCAGATTGTATGCCGTCTTGGGGAGGGAGGTGGAGAGGAAGGGGGAGAAAAATTTAAAACTCAAAAGTTTATAAAAATGATTATTGATAAAATAAATTAATTAGTAAAAAACTTTATATTGTAAAGTAAAATTTATAACTTAGAAAAGAAAATAAAATTTAGAAATAGTTTGTTGAACATTAACTTAGTTTTTCATATCATTTACATTCTATTTTTTATTATTTCCCTTAAAGATTTAAAGTATTGATTACCTAGAGAGAAAATTTATTGAGATTAGGCAATGGTCTGTTGGAAAAATCAGCCCTATTTCTTTTGTTGGTACCTAGTGTTATTTCAAGAAAATTAGTAAAAATATGTGTGTTTTTCCCCCACTTTATAAAATTATACTTTAAAATATTCATAGTTAGCTTCATTTTAAGTATTTAAAAAATGAATATACATATATATGTAGTTAAACAACAAGATTTGTGCTTAATAAAAATTTATCAGAATGTTTTAAAGTTTTTTGCTCTCAATAAATGGCATTTAAAATTCTAAATATTATTTTACCATTTTTCTTACTATGTTAATTGCAGGTTTTGAATTGAAGTATAAATGTACACTGAGTGGACACTCTGCTCCAGTTCTGTCTTGTGCTTTTTCTTATGATGGTCAGATGTTAGTTTCAGGGTAAGCTGTTTAATTTGGTTTTTGTAATTTAATTATATTTTGAGTTAGGGAAGAGTGGCAATATAATAAAGTGAGCTCAGTTTTCAAATTCAAAGCCTGTCCTCCTAGAAAATAACTTAACATAAAGAAATTATTACTTGTATGATGAAATAGGCTCACTTTTAAAATTTTTACTGTGTGAAATTAATGAACCTTGTTCTCTGAGCTGTTCTCACTTATTGGTTTTTTTGGTTTTGTTTTGTTTTCTTTAGATTGAAATGGTAGCCTATACATTATGGTGCTGTAATTTCTCCTTGTCTATCTTTCCTATGATGTGAGATGAGGAAGTGATAAGAGGGAGCTGTCTGGAAAGTGCTTCAGTTTTGTTCAGTGAAATGTGAGGCAGGTTCTTAGTTGAGAAGGTAGCAGGAGGAGAAGCTACATGAGGTTTGAGGAGGGATGAAAAAATTTGGAAAAGTTACTGAGGCAATTGAGATACCAAATCAATTAAGGGGGTGTAAAAGGATTACCTTGCAGGGGAGAAGGCCCAGTTAAGATTAATGTGACATAAATTTGTAGTCGATCCAGTTAGCAAAATTTCACAATTGCTCACACAGCTGCAAATCTGTACTACATATAGTTCGCTCCTTCACAATTTAACAAGTTATTGCCAAAGCTGTCTTGTTTTGTTTGTTTTTTCTACTGACATCTTTTCTTCAGTGAATTTTTAATATCCTTCAATGACCTTTTCGTACTTTCCTTCTTTTTAAAATTTTGTTAACCTTAGACTTATTCTACTTCTTTCTTAAGTCCCTTTGCCTCCTAAAAAACTTGAAAGAAAGATAAACAAAACCCTTTTATCAAACCTACATAATCAAAGAAAACAAATCACACTTTTCACATCCAAAAATACATGTCTCATTTGAGCTCATCACCTCTGTTAGAAAATAGCTACCATTTTTTATCATTGGTCTTATGGAGCCATAGTTGGTCATTACATTGATTAGAGTTCTTATATCTCTCTTAGTAGTTTTTCTTTGTATTATTCTTATTGTATCAGTTGTTCTCTGGGTTCTCCTGATTTCATTCTGCATAAGTTCTTACAAGTATTCTCATGTTTAACTGAAATTGTCCCTTTTGTCATTTCTTGTGGCACAGTTGTGTTCCATTTCATTTCAAACATTTGTTCAGCCATTTGAGCTACTGTGTTAAAGCAGTTAAAATAATATCATTATTGCTACATGGTATGTTGGTCACAGTCTTTGTTTTGTATAATTTGCTTTACCTGCTATAAACCTGTAGTAGGGATGGTATAAATTTTTATATGCTTTTTTAAAGAGGAAATAAAATAAATTTAAGTCAGATGCTTCCTCTTAATATATAAAACTTCATTTATAAAAGACTTTTTGCCCTTTAGAGTGATCTCAAACGACTGTTATTAAGAATAGTCCATGTGACCACAAGACCAAATTAAGAATTATGTATTTAAAAAGAGGGAAAAAATCAAATTGCAGAATTATTCACAGTCATGTATGGCTTACCAAATAATAACTGTTTTTGTAATGTTTAATCCTTTTGTGATGTTACTCTTCAAGAACTAGAAATGTATTTAAAAAATTTTTTGCCTCACAGATGTCTGTTCTAATTATAACTACTTACTACAAATTGCAACTAACATTAATCTTTTAATAAGGTTATTTTTCATTTTGTAGAATAATTTTATATTTGAAAAGTTTATTATATTTGAACCTTTATATTAGAATGATTTGCTATTACACCCTATATTCTGTTATATATTTTTATTTTACTTATATTATGTATGTTTTTCCATTTGATAGATATGTATTTATTTAAACTTCTTCTCTTTATTAAATTGGTAATGTTTTAAGTACAATTTAAGTAAATTTAAAATTTTCCCTATTTATAAAAACATTCACACAAATTTTTCTTTTCTCTTTTTTAAAGATCTGTGGACAAATCTGTGATTGTATATGAACCTGTAAGTATTTGAGCATCTAGTACTGGTACATGTGTATGGGTTAAAAAAAATTCTAGGGTACTATCCTTTAAACTTAGTTTATCTAAAAGACAAATAAGATGATAAATTTGGTCTTTTTTTAGTATGTATTCTCAAATGCTTTAACTGCTGCTTCAAACTTTACAAGACCTATGACTTCACTAATTTGAGTATTTCTCTTATTGGCATAGATCAAAGCCTTTCCAGAGCTTAATAGACCATCTTCATGAGATGCTGTGAACCTGATAAGACAGCAGTTTAACACTTAGTGACCAAATTTCTGGTGATAGGCTTCTTTGAACTTCACTCATCTAGTCTAGCTGGGAGATGTTTTCCTAAATCACACATCTGACCATGTCCCAACTCTACTCAGTAAATTCTAGAGCTTTTGTCTTATGTAGTAAGATCAAATATAAATCCTCTACTCAACATTTAAGCATTGTAAATTAGTTGCCTTAAGTTTAACCAGTGTTAATTAATTGCCACGAGACTACTAAAAGAGCTCAGAAAACACCCTAGTCAGCAAATATCTAGCTTGCTTGCCAGGGACAGGTGATTGCCAAAGGCAACACCAGGTTAGAATATAAAGTCATTTGTAAAATCTCATGAAGAAGGATTATAGATAATTATGAGCAATATAGTCTCATAAAGCAGACAGAAGCAGAAGAGAGTAAAACCAGTCTAAAGAAAGCTCATAAACATATCTAATTAAGTAAAGTCATCCAAAGAGAATTCAGAGTTTAAAAAAATGAAAGAACTATAAACAGAAGAAAAATGAAAAAGATTTCAAAAAAGATTTTAACAACTTGTTTTCTCCATAAAGGCATGTGGCACCACCACACTTGGACCCTAATCTCACTCTCCCAGATATACTTATCAGGAAGGTAGACATGACACTGAAGTGAACAAAGAGGGAAGGGGGTCCGGAGAAGCAGCTGTGTTGGATGAAGTATGTACAGAAGTCAGTAGAGGTGGTATAGTTGTGAGGGCATGAGGAGGAGATGCCAAAGCCAAGGGAAAAAAATTTCAGACCTTCTTAGTACCTAAAAAGGTGATGAAGGAAACATCAGTGACCTTTGTGCCTGTTATTCTATCTATGCAAAGTCTTTGAGGGTCACCAGTGCATCAATTGAGGGCATCTTCAATGAGGGTATTAGTTGGGAGCAAGAAGGCTTTTTCAAGCAATATTCATCAATGGATCACATCTTTACCATTTCACAGACAATTGAAAGATTTAGAGAATATAAGATCCTGTTGTGCTTATTGATTATTTATTGCAGAGAAGCTTTTGTTTGGTAGACCAAATTGATGCCTCATAACAAGATACATGCCCTTCTCACCCTCTCCCTCATAGAGTCCCCTGCTTCCTTCCTGGCTTAGTTCAACTGCTTCCTTTAGTATGAAGCCTTTCCTAACCCTTCCAGTTGCTTGTGCTTTACCCAAATATTATCTTATATTTGTTCTATGTATATCTACATAACAATAATTGTAGTAATTATAATATTAACCTATATGTACATGTTGCTTCCCCCGATGAATTGTAAGGTCCTCCAGGGTGGAGACATTTTCACTTTTGTCTTTGTATCCCCACATTTTCATATGTGCCTGACATATAGCAGATGCTCAAACGCCTTTTGATCTATTATACAGCCTGTTGCTAAACTTATACTCAAAGCCTTTTTTTAGTGTGGCACAACCTGACAGAGTTTGCATTCTACTGGCGTAGCCTTTGAGAACCTCTATACTAGGATAAAACATCAACATAGGACTCGTCTTTGTCGTTGTTGAGTTGTTTCAGTCGCGTCTAACTTTCCGTGACCCCATTTGGGGTTTCTTGACAAAGATACTGAAATGGTTTGCTATTTCCTTCTACTGTCCATTTTACAGATGAACTGAGACAAACAGGGTTAAGTGACTTGCTCAGGGTCACACAGCTAATAAGTGTGTCTGAGGCCAGATTTCAACTCAGGTCGTCCTGACTCCAGGGCCAGCACTCTGTCCCTTGTCTTCACATGTAACATAATTGTTTGGGGTCATTCTCTAAAATAATATATGATTTTTAAATTAGGCAAGACAGTCAGATATAGTGAAAAGAACACTGGATTTTATAATTCATAAGACCTGGGGTGACATAACAGTTTTGCTTCTTAAAAACCCTGTGACCTTGGGAAATCACTTTACCTTTCAGGGCCTCAGATTGTTTATCTGTAAAATGGGACATAGGTGGACTAGATGATCCTTAAGATCTTTTCTAGCTCTAACTGTATGATAAAGACCTCACAGTACCATAGGAAAATGTAGATTTAAGGAGCTACAATCCAAGGAGTAACTTAAAACATATAGCATTGAGATACAGGTAATATAAGCCATAGATAGCGATAAAGAGATTATGTACCTTCAAATAATAGAAATCACTTTGTTTCACACAATAGTGCAAAATTACCTCTATTAATATGCTTTGTGTTACATATGATTGCTAAATTATAAAGCTAACACTCAGACATAGTAAGAATAATAAAACCATGCCAAATCTTAGTTTTCTTTGGGAATTAGAATCATATGAATAACTGAAACTCATAATAAGGAGCTAACTGATATTACTGGATCTTCATTCCCCATTGACTAATGACAAGAGGCAAGATTGGATTGGAAAGATAAGACTAGTGTATGGAAGGATTTTAAGTGCTGGGCTTGATTCAGTAAGCTGAAAGGAGGATTTTGTGCACCTTGAAGCAGAGGAGTGACTTCATGAAAATAGTACTTTAGGAAAATAAATGTAGAGATCATAGGATCACAGATGTAAGCAGAAAGGTGCCTGAAATGCTGTCAAGTCCAATCCCATCATTTTTTATCAGGGTCATCATCAAGCGAGTTTTGAATTCAGATTTCCTGACTCCAAGTCTGGTGCTTTATCCACCATATCAAGCTGCCCTTTCAACTCTACATTTTTTGCCCTTAATCATTAGTATTTTTGTACAGTGAGATTCATTCATTCAGGAAATATTTGTCAAGCATATTATATGTAAGCTACCTTGCAGCACAGTAGCTGATGCAAAATGAATATGATAGAGCACCTGGCCCTCAAATAATGGCAGTAGAGATTTTGTTCTCTGAGGAGCAAAGGATTGCAATCAATTTTAGATTATCTTTGGTCACACAGAAAATCGATCTTTTGAACAGGGCTGGTCTTAGGTGTGTAGTATGTGGTTTGAATTACAATGAAAAAGTACTAAAGTGGGCTTAGAGCTTTATGGAGGTACTAATGAATTTGAAAACATTTCAAAAATGGTGGAGAAATAGCAATGCATACTTCCTCACATCCTTGCTTTTACTTTTTTAAACCATGCAGTGTCCTTACCTGTTCTCTTTTCCATCCTTCAGGTTTCCAACGATTAAACTGCTCTTTTTCTGTCAAAAGTAAATCCAAATACCTTTTCCCTTGTTCCTATTTCTTCTTGCCTTTTCATTGACCACAAGCCAAACTCCTTTCTGTCCTACTTTATTAATCTGGTGCTGTCTACTACTGACATTTCCTTCATTTGTAGATTGACAATGTTCAGGTCTTTCAAGGTAATTAAAAAAAAAATTCTTTGACCCGGATTTCTCCCTCAAGCAATTCTATTTTCTCTCTCCTATCCTTTACTGTTAAACTTCTAAAAAGAATACATATTGTACAGTCTACATCTACTTTTCATTCCTAACTTGATTGATACATAACTGCTTTTAATCTGTCTTCCTTCATTACCACTCTATTGAAACTTATATCCAAAGCTATTAATGCAAGTATTAATAGCAAATCTAGTGGCCTTTTCTCAGATACCTTCATCCTTGTTCTTTCTTCAGCATTTAACACTGTTGATAATGTTTTCCTTGATATCATTCTATTCACCCTTGATTTTTATAATATTGTATTCTCATAGTTTTTGATTTATTTCTCTGGCCACACTGTCTCTGTCTTCTTTATTGACTGCTTATCCTGACTCTTATATGTGGGGTGTACCTACTGGAATTGTCTTTGTCTGTTTTCTCACATATATTCTTTTCTTTGATATTCTGGAACTCATTCATTTCTATAGCTTCAATTACAAATCTTTTTAGTTGATTCCCAGACTGACCTCATCCCCCAGCTTCAGTTCTGCGTTTCAAATTGCTTACTGAATATCTTCACCTGGCCACCAATATCTTAGATTCAGCATGCCAAAAAGTCAATTCCACTCTTGAAAACCTGCCTTTTTTCCAAAAACTATTTCTTTTGATGTCATTGTGTTTCACTCACTCTGCTCAAAACCTTAGAGTCATACTTAACTCTTCCCTCTTTCTTATTTCTCAAATCCAGTCAGTTGGTAAGTTCTATTGATTCTGTCTCTATAATATCTTTCTATTCCTTTCTCTCTTTTCCATTTCCACTGCAAATACTTTTCAGGTACTTATTGACTGTCTACTCGACCAGTGGTGTCAAACCCAAATAGAAACAATGGCCACTAAGTTGGATATAACAGTGCCTATGGGTGCATATTGACTTACAAAACCTCTTATTAACATCTGTTTTTATAATATTTTTATTAACTTTGTTGAGTATTTCCCAATTACATTTTAATCTGTTTTGGGCCACATGGGGCTATTGTATGCCATTTATTTGACACCTGTCTTAGACTGTGGTAATACCAATAACTTAAACTTACATAGCATTTAAAAAAAAATTTATGTATTTATTCACTTTTAGTTTTCAACATTCACTTTTATATGATTTTAAGTTCTAAATTTTTTCCCCTCCCCAAGACAGCATGCAATCTGATATTAGCTATACATGTATGATCATATTAAACATATTTCTACATTAGTCATGCTGTGAAAGAAAAATCAAAAGGAAAAACCATGAGAAAGAAAAAACAAAGAACAACAACAGAAAAAGAGAAAATAACTTGCTTTGATCTGCATTTTTGCAGATTGTATCAAGCTGCCCTTTCCACTCTACATTTTTT